TCATCATATTGAAAACATTAGCTTAGCTATTAGAAATTGCGTCACTGTTGTATCATATAAATCAAATAAAGACAAATGTGAACCTAAATATTATTCATATGAAACAAAGAGGTTATATGTTTTTGACACAATATTAAGATACATGGCGAGTGCACTTTATTACTATTTATTTAGAATTAATATTTAAAATATGACGCATCATGTCAATGTGGCCATGGATGTGAGAATGTTTTATATTACTTCCTCGAATGAACTCTTTTTCACCCTTACTGTGTATACAGCGCCGTTGAGCATCTGTGATGGAAACTAGGCGCTGTACAAGTCAATTATTATTATTATGTCCATTGTATACTACTCAAGGACATAAACTGTTACAATCTTTAGAAAGTATTGTTGAAATTAGAACACTGATTGGTATTAATCGTATCTTACATGGCAATGCAGGTGTCTCATTTACTGCAAATCAGAATGTTTTCAAATATGTACATATCTATATCTCTCCAACAAACGTTTTCTCAGTGAACTTCTGTTGCACATATGCTATTATTGGGAGGGGTCTTTTCTATCAATAAACACAATCAAACCTCTCAGTGACAAACCTGTTTTATATTCGATAGTAATTGATAGTGAAATCAATTTGGAGAAGAGAAATCATTTATCATTTAATCACAACAAAGTTCTATTTACCTACAATCAAACTTCTCAGTAACGAACCTGTTTCAGGCTCACCCTGCTCTACTCAGTAGACAGTGGACTGTTCCATTATACCAGTAGGTGTTACCCTAATTAACCTTCTAGTTCAGTGTCTGTCAATTGGGTGTCTGTCAAATTGGTGTCTGTTAAATGGGAGATAACCGTAGGTAGAGTTCATATGGATCCCTCCCCATGTTGGTGTGTTTGGCAACCAACATGCCGGCCAAGCAGCCAAAGCGGCACTTTCATACCCAGAGGTTAACTTAAACATACCATTATCTAAAATCGAAATAAAAAGCCTTTCAATACAAAAAGTCTTCCTAAGTGGCAAAATAAATACCAAAATTCAATTTCTAAACTGAAAACATCTAAACCAAAAACCACTGAAAAAATGCCTAAAAACTACCTCAGGGCGATAACCAAATTACAAACAGGGAACCCCAAATTAAGGTCCCATTTAAATAAAACAACATAAAAAAACACCAAACAGACAAATGCACTGAAACAGAAACGTCCGACCATATCGACACCCTATTACGCTGTATACACTGCCACCAACACAGAATGGTGCTCCAGAGTTCACTAACTCACACCTAACACTACAAACACTCCTGACACCACTATATAATACCTAAAACTTAGGCATATTTCTCCTCAAAACCGGCCTTATAGTTCGCTTATAATCCCACATAACCAACTGGTAATAACATAAGAAAGTAATACAAAACAAAACAAATACAAAACAAATTGGCAAATTTCAAATTTCCAAATTCAAAATGCATACAAATTTAATTATGCAACACTAACGGCCCCCTTCAGGTTTCCACATATGTCAGGGCTGATGAGGACGGTGGGAAAGGATGCGAATCTTTGATTAGTAATGTATATATTGTTTATAAAGTATGCACGATCATACAGAAATATATATTTTACATCATGAAAATGTATTTTACTCCAACCAAAGATATCGTATTGAATCAGAGGTGCAATATCTTGGCAATAGCAACAGCAACCGTAGCACCAACAACAGCAGTCCCTAGCGTACCGCTGACAATGGTGCTAATTACAACCGGGCTTGCCGAGTTCCTCTGCATCGGCAGTGTCGTGGCCGACTGCATCGGTAGTGTCGTGACCGATTGCATCGGTAGTGTCGTGACCGACTGCATCGGTAGTGTCGTGACCGACTGCATTGGTAGTGACGTGGACGCCTGCATCGGTAGCTTTATTTGTTTCGGCAGTTACGTGGCCTGGAAGTGTTACTTGTTTGAAAGTTGCCATAGCTATGTTGGACTTATCAGAGCGGTGATTGACTTCATCAAAGGTCACCATGGCAAACCCGACCGTCGTCCAACCAACGGGTGTCTTGATCGTCATCTCCTCCCTGCTGTTGGCGGGGCTGGGCGCCAAATGTCCAGATATGATCATAAATGGTGTCACCATTAGGCAAGAAGGAAACCCATTTCTCAGTGCGGCAGCAGTTTCTGCGATTCGTATTTCATATCTGGAAGCTGAAAAATATACTCAGAAAATTGATTTAGAAACAGGAATCAATCTGCTATCTATTATGAACGTATGATATAAAACGTCCAGAAATATCGGTGGTGCGAGATCCTGCATCTTAGGGAGATATTAAATTTGCATATTTGTGAGTAGGAGGAAAATCGCCATTGGTAAGATTGGTGCCAATTGTAGACGGACGTTACAGGATCACATAGCCCACGCCTTTTATGGTAAGATTGGTTTCCCATTGTAAACGTACGTGACAGGGTCACATAGCCCACGACCTGTATGGTAAGATTGGGTGCCAATTGTAGACGTACGTTAGAGGATCACATAGCCCACGCCTTTTATGGTAGGATTGGTTTCCCATTGTAGACGTACGTTACAGGGTCACATAGCCCACGACCTGTATGGTAAGATTGGTTTCCCATTGTAGACGTACGTTACAGGATCACATATCCCACGCCTTTTATGGTAAGATTGGGTGCCAATTGTAGACGTACGTTACAGGGTCACAAAGACCATGCCTTTTATGGTAAGATTGGTTTCCCATTGTAGACGTACGTTACAGGATCACATAGCCCACGCCTTTTATGGTAGGATTGGTTTCCCATTGTAGACGTACGTTACAGGGTCACATAGCCCACGACCTGTATGGTAAGATTGGTTTCCCATTGTAGACGTACGTTACAGGATCACATAGCCCACGCCTTTTATGGTAGGATTGGTTTCCCATTGTAGACGTACGTTACAGGGTCACATAGCCCACGACCTGTATGGTAAGATTGGTTTCCCATTGTAGACGTACGTTACAGGATCACATAGCCCACGCCTTTTATGGTAAGATTGGTTTCCCATTGTAGACGTACGTTACAGGGTCACATAGCCTACGGCTTTTATGGTAAGATTGGGTGCCAATTGTAAACGTACGTTACAGGGTCACATAGCCCACGCCTTTTATGGTAAGATTGGTTTCCCATTGTAGACGTACGTTAGAGGATCACAAAGCCCACGCCTTTTACAGTAAGATTGGTTTCCCATTGTAGACGTACGTTACAGGGTCACAAATCCCACGCCTTTTATGGTAAGATTGGTTTCCCATTGTAGACGTACGTTACAGGGTCACATAGCCCACGCCTTTTAGCTTCCCTAAATGTAATTGGAATTCGGATTTTTTCGTTGTACCTAATTTTGGAAAACTCATAGTCCTTGTTTACCTAACGTCGATGTACCATCATATTAAATCATTTATAAACATTTTCCTTCGTATTATGATGATAATAATATTGGTGATTCCAATGTTAACAGGTTCTCCTTGTCGAGTCCTTTTCTAATGATATTGGCATGACATTTGGACGCGACAAATGTAATGCTTTTCATTTGAAACGTGGCAAGGTAACTAATAATGGATCGGCCAAACTACAAGGGAATTATTGAGTTATTGAGCATCTTGTGGAAGATCAGGCCTACACCTATCTTGGAATGTAAGTTCGAGACAAGCTCCAGAATGCCCACATTCAAGACAAACTTCGGACTGAGTATAAAACTCGCTAAAAAAAAAACCAAACAAAAGAAATAACTGGAGCTCAGAGCTTAATGCTCGAAACAAAGTCAAAGCCACCAATAATTTTGCTGAGCCAGTCCTTTCCTATGCCTTTGGAGTAGTTGATTGGACGAAACAAGACATCCTGAGTCTTGACCGCCTGACCAGAATATCATGTCTGATAACAGAGCCCACCACCCTCGTTCTTTCGTTAATTGTGTATATATGCCAATCAATTGTGGAGGTCGGGGTTTGATTAATGTGGATTGTCTTCACAATAGAATGTTATTGTGTAGTTTTGCACATATTTATTTATCGGTTGATCCTCTGGTGATGCATGTCAAGACTCATGATGAAAGCAAGGAATTCCCCAACTATTTTAAGCGGGCCAAGATCGTTGGACAGAATCTGAAATTTGAGGTTGATTTTGTTGATGGCCATGTACTGCTGGACGGTACAGCGATGGGAGTAAACCAGGTGAAGTCCTTCACCAAGTCTGCCCAGAGTCGGTCATTTGTGGAGAAGCTTTCTGACAAGCCACGGCGTCGTGTGTACATGCAGTGTGTGGAACAGAAGAGTAATCCAACCGACTTCTTCGCCTGGATGAAGTCGGCTGGTCTTAAATGTGAAACAGACGGCTTTCGTTTTGCTGCCTAAGACCAGTCACTTCCCACTTGCAATCGCCAAATGTGATCCATAAACAAAATATCAATATGACATGAGGACTATGTAATGAATTCACAGAGACTGTCCAACACCTTGTCGGTGGATGCCCTTCCTTGGCACAAACAGCATATCTTAAAAGACATGATGGCATGACTCGTTGCTTTTACTATCGTCTCCGCCATGCTTGTGGCTGTGACTCTGACGCCCATCCATGGTACGACCCTGAACATGTCCAGGGCGTCATGGAAAATGATGCTTTCAAACTTCTGTGGAATAGGCCCATATACAGCTTCAGAAGAATTCCAGCCAACAAACCTGATCTTGTCCTTTTTGATAAAGCTAATGAATTTATTCATATCATTGAATTTTCTGTCCCTTTTGTCAGCAACGTGATTGGCAAGATTCAGGAATAGCATGCTAAATAAGCGGACCTCGCCTTTGAAATGTCTCGCTTGCATCCCAAGTGTACTGTTGTCAGGCTCCCAATTTGTTCACAACAAACTCACAACAAGCAAAATATTTACCAATGCCGACATTGAGGTCGTCCCCAGGTGCAGTCCAGGTCAAGGTCACTGTATGATTTCTGGTATTAAAAGGGATGACCTTCAGATCGGTGACTCTACTCGGGGCATACAGGTCTTTTCCTTTCTCAAAGCCATCCACGTCCATTGCACCAGCAGAGGTTGTGCGGGTGAAATTCTCGACAGGTACAGTTGTGACAGGGGAGCACTGTCTGGAAACAAACCATGATATGATACAGATCTACAAGGTAACAGTGAATGTCTTAGGTTCAGATTATTTGTTTGGAATATTGCAGTTTCTATCATATATCGCCCGGTTTTCAGCAAACATACACTAACCTTAGATCAATCCTTGTGGTTCTAAGGATCTCAAGTTACTTGATGTGGTTTTAACGATCTCAAGTTAATTTTGATGAATTTTGATTCTAGTCTCATGTACCAACTGGAATGCGAACTTCATTGTTTGTTTGGCGCGACAGCTACAAGGCGACCACTTCCTGTGATAATGATAGAGTGTGCGAGTTATTCAAGATTGAAAACCTGACCAACGCGCAAATGAACGCCCCATAAGACCTGGATCACATTTGCCACGGGCGCCGTACGATAAAGTAGTCTACCCACGATTTTTTAAGCATCGTGGGTGACCGCGGGCTACGTACGACGTTTGTGTTCACATTGTCTATCATGTGATTTCCTTGTTGACAGGCCGAGGCAAACCAGCATGGAGGCTGCAGGGATATCTTATGGCCCTCATACGGAGTTCTTATGGAGGCCGAGCGATGATCGCGAGGTAGCAGTTCAGATATCCCACGTTCCTTTGGTTCCCAACGGTTTATTCCTGGTTTGCCACCCCACTGAAGGAGATTAAAACTAATCCTGTTTTTACAAGTAGAGGGGCATATCATCATTTGAACTCTAATTAAACAATCCATCGGTGAATCTCTTAGTTAGACGTGCATCAGCCTTGCCCCTGATCAGACTGAACGACATCGACGATGTCTGGTTACATGCTCTTGAAGACGCAGACTTGACAAATCCAGCAGTGTTAATGTTTAGCGATTATGTTACTGAAGTGTGGATTGACAGCGCAGGGAGATCAGAATGGAACCATTTCCACTCTAGCGGCCCCCGTACCAACAACCATGTCGAAGGATGGCATGAGGTTGGACACTCGCACCCTAACATATTCCACTTCATTGACATCCTGAAGCAAGAACAGTGCCACACAGAGAATGTCATCGGTCAGCTACTCATGGGAGGGAAGCAGCCCCCCAAGAAGAAGAAATATCGAAATATCGACCATCAACTCCAGCTTGAGAAAGACCTCCTGTTAGCCGGGCAGAAAACTCCATATCAGTATGCCGATGCCTTGTCGTATCTGGTTGGACTTTAAAGATGGTATATGAGTGTTCTGTGTATAGCAATAATTTGACATGTTATAAGTATGTAAAAGCATCATGGGAAAATGTGTCATACTGACAAAAACTTCAGTCATGGTACGTTAAGTCATGTGATATGTATAGAAATATACGTTGAATATTTCATTTTTTGAATGTATATTCATGTGAAATGAAAAAAAAAATTAAGGAAATATATCGCCACCACATGTCTAAATGTTGCGATGACCCCCACCTAACCCCATTGTTCTACCAATTACCACACCTGACTGCACAGCCTAATTTAAACAATAGGAGGTGGCAAATCAGGAAGACCCCTTACCAAATAATCGTGCGTTTACCGCACGGTCACCGATCCGAGCGAGGAGGTGCCCGTGCAGTGTACGTGCGATGCCACCTACGCGCTACGGGCTAACGATTTTTACATTTATTAAAATTTGACAAACCGCGTTGTTTGCCAAAATCTTAGAGGCTGCGGCGCCCGTCGGATCGAGCGATAATCGTACGGGCGGGCACCGTAGACCCATCGCCGTAGACTCATCTCCATTAACGCTGGCGGTGGTAAGTCCTCTCTGACCCGTTTTCTTTTCCCTCATCTCGTCGTTTAATTAGTGGGTAAAATGTAAATGAAATTGAAGGGCTGGTAACCTGAGATAGAGAGCACCACGGTAATGGACCGATGGGCTAGTTCAGGTTTACCCAAATGCGAGCTCCGGAGGGACGTAGAAGATACTTTCGGCGTAATGTGGTGACAAATAATGCCCTCATCTAAACACAAATAGATACATACTGGGAAGTCTTGAGTTTGCCCTCCCGAAGGCGGGACCTCCCTGAATGAAGTAGCGTGTTTTGTGAGCGATGGTCCTCACGTCCACATCCAGGGAGTATCTCTCTCGTTTCCGCTGAACTGGGTGAAGTACACGGAATACACCCCGTCGTCGGCCATGTTGTCCGGCACTGTAACAGGGACAGCCTCTCGTTAACGATGTTCATGTATATCAGAGTAGTTCATCTCACTTGTACTTAGTGTGAATCTAGTTACATATATCGTACCGTAATCTGTTTGATTATCAAATTACAAGTTGATGAACAAAAAAGAAAAAGTATTATGCTTTATAGATAACAACTTCTTTATTATATATGATGCGACGTATCGGTATAGCTTCAATACCGTTGTCAGGCAACAGTGAAGTAATACAGTACAGAACCGACCTATATACATGTAGCAGGGAGTAAGTGAGACAACTCATGTTGTCCCTTCATGTTGCTTGATGCCGAAACGTCGCATCATAATATAATAAAGAAGTTGTTATCCATAAAGTATTATACTTTTTCTAACGTATCGTATATTTGGGATTACACCTTCTCAGTAAAGTACAGATTCTAGTAACGTTTTTGGTTGAGTCCAATCCGGGATTCGAACCCACACTCTCAGTCAGGACCCGCCAGCACATAAAGTCAGCGATCTAACCGAATCAGGCACCCAGGCTTCAATAGAGGTGAAAGTGGTATACTTGGTGTACCGACCTGACGAGTGACGACTGACACGGCTTACACGACAGAAAGCTTTGAATACAGAATGTCATGTAGAAGGTGGTTCATGTAATACTAGTATTTGTCATGTTTGGAATTACACTTCCTCAGTGACGTCACTCAGTCTGCTTCTGATTCTATACACACACCACCTAACCAATAACCAAAGTTACATCTGGACACTTGTGGACACGTTCATGAACATACGTTGAAAGGGGCTGATGACTCCGAACCGAATCCGAACTTAAAATAAGTTGTAACTAATACGTTCTCATCGACATCTTTACAGAAAGCTACAATTCAAACTTCAAAATAATACAGGCACCCAAGACCCTGTATCTAAAACGGGTCACACCTCCTGAAACCACGTGGTCATTATGTGTATCCAGGAGCACTTCTCATACTTTCAAGAGTACTTGTGTACTCCTGAAAAGCGTCATACAAAATAACCGTATTGGAAACACACATACATACAGTCTCATACTATGTCCAATGCAATAGTATACTTTATATTTTCCACAATCTGTAGATAGACCCACGTTATACTTACATGTCCCGTCATCCTTTGGTTTTAGAGTCACGGGAAGACCAGTTGGTCGTTCTACAATCACAGTAACGTCAGCGTCGACAACGGGGGGAGTAGCCTTTGCGTACACTGACATAGACGATAGGTTTAACTGGGTTAGCTGCGGAGAGATCAGCGCCCGTGGAGGAAAGCCAGGAGTTGATCTCATAGGGTTGGGCGTGGTCCGCGGGGAGCGCCTTCACCACAAGGGTCACTGTGCCAGATGTCGGGCTCCACAGTGAATAGCGCCATACCCCTGTCTGAACACAGAAACAAAGTTAAAACACGAATGTCTCTGTGATGACTGAAACGGCCCATGATTGTTTTAGTAATAAACTCTTATACCTGTGCTTTGTGGAAGTTGAATCTGACGATGTTGAGTGTGGGGTCGATGGAATATTCACTACTACCTGAGGTATACTTCACGCCATCAGGGGATGTCAAGGTCACCTAAAACACAATAAGAAATGGCTACATAAGCTACATGATGGTGCACACGACCATATACATGTAGCTTGTCTAGGACGCTGGCTTCAGTGACTTGAAGAATGAACCCACGTACCGTCACTGATGTTCTATGCGGGAGGGTGAAGACAAACATTGTATCACTCCCAACTGTAGCGTCCATAATTACGTCGTCTTCCACAGTTGTACCGCCAGTCACAAACTTAGCTGCTCTCAATATCCTCAGACCAATTATCTGAAAACAGACCAGGGCCTTATGGAAGTCGAAGATTAGTCAGTTAAAACGCATTTGGAAAACCGCATTTGGCTCCACTCCATGTTCTCCCCGTTGTCTGGAATGTACATCTTCACAGTGGAGGGGCACTCGAAAGGAGGCCATTTTCATAGTTGGTAAAACCCAAATCTGGGTATTCTGACTTTTAGGAAACGTGTGAAAGTGTTTAGTTTTAGGCCGCTTTCAGCAATATTCCAGCAGTATCACGGCGAGGGGACTTCAGAAATGGTCTTCACGCACTGTACTGATGTGGGCAATTGAACCCTGGTCTTCGGCGTGATGAACGAACGCTTTAACTATTAGGCTACCCCACCGACTCCTCGTGCGATAGCGCACATGCGCATGGCATAATGGATCTTTACTAAGCTTAGCACCCAATACAACGCAAGAGTTGAAATAGCACTGGGTTCCTTCAGGCAGTTGATCCGACCAATCCGACATCTGAGAGGCCCGGACTAGTCTACAATGTTCCAGGAGTCATTATTTGAAACCATCTGACCCAAGTGGTTGTCACAAGCCATCCTCATATATGACTTTCCTAAAGAGGAATATATGACTACGTTAATAAGTTGATTTGCAACGATGTCGTGAACGTACCTCTATACGGACCCTGTTGTTACAGATGGAGATGTCTTTCATCAAGGTCTCGATGACGCTGTCGAGGACGGTGGACGTGGCGCCCTCAGAGTAGTAGGCGTATTGGCCACCTGGCAAACATCAGCAAACCAATGAAATAATCTCCTTCCTCCTGAATCCCATTGCATGGCTTAATGAAATGTTCTGTTGGAGCAACTGAGCATAGAGCATACTAAGCATATAAATAAGCATAGAGTTGACTGACCTGTTTCATTTGCTAGTTTCCCTATGGCACGGGCAGCTGCACTACTGTAGGCCACTGCGTGTACCCGGACTCCAGCCTGGAGTAACTGTCCTTTCACATCAGCTACGTAACGTAAGGTTGAACATTCTCCTCTCCATCTGTGATCAGCACTATCCTGCCTTCCTTTAACGCACCTGCATCTTGTAGCATCTGTCAGCAGCAGTTTATAGTCCATGTATGTAAAAGTACACATGCTGTACAGCAGTCAGTGTAACAACCGTCTTTCATCAGTATATATGACGCATATGCTATAAAAATACAAATAAAGATAAAGTTCTTTCTACCTGTTTAGCAAGAAGGAGTCCACTACCAATGCCGGTGCCACCTCCATAGTCATAGAGTGTCGGCAGCTGCTGTGAAACACGGTCTCTGTCAGCGGTCGTCGACAACACCGTCAGTGGTATTGCTTTAGACGCGGTGTAACTAAACGTTACCACCCCGACCTTGGTTCCCACGGGAAGGATATCTCTGATGAGTTTGTCTGCTGTCTGACCTTGTTTGAAGTAGCGGTCGTTCTAAAACACAATTCATTTCGATACCGCTTTACACATTCCATAACATGATGAATATAAGACCAATATAACATTGGCAGTCAAACTGTTTCGTGTGTACTAAATATCCTTTGTAGTGAGGTTCAGACTGTTAAGCCACCCTATATTGGGTTATAAGTCAACTCTTACCGATCGCATTGAACCGGAAACATCCAGGACAAGGACCACGGGTCTACCACAGGCTTCCCCTCCAGTGTGTGTTGTAGTTTTAGCGTTGAACAGAACGTTGAACGTCGGCCTTATCTCAGCCTCGGTCTTGTTGACGGGTGGGTTGGTACCTCCCCTGAAGTCGGGGCTCTCCAAGATGACGTCCCAGGTGCCCTTGCCCCCACACATCTTGTTATGCAGGTTCGGGGCCAGGTCGTTGTGAAGGTAATCCGGGTCATTGGTATTGCTCTCACAAAATGTAGTCACCTGCAATATAATGTATGATGTATCCTGGACACTTGCTGTGGACAACAATGCTGAAAGTGCCCAGTGGTCACATCATGAAAAACACCAAAACCAATGTATTCCGAGTTAGAACCGGATGTCCACATATGCATGTAGCAATCTTTTGTGGTCAAAGCATTCACTTAGACATTAATCTGTGTGTATCCACTGTATGACGTCATCAGTTATACTCATCGGGGAAAACGTTGTACAAACCACAACGTATTACTGAGCAATATTCAAATTATTGTTTTTTTCAGTAATCTGGGCCACATAATCTGATTGACATCATGATCAACAAAGACATGCATAATTCAATTCAACGACCTTGACCCCCCCATTCCATTCTTAATGGCTGCTCGGTACCAAATCTAACCCAGATCGTTACGGTCGAAGCCGAAACATCTCAGGATATAATACTATCATATATTATTTTGTATTGTTGACCTTATTTCAATGAATGTATTTTAGTCCTAATATTACTATACCTGTCAGTGTTTCATATTACAAAATATATCTGTATGAGGGTAGACAAAGTCCCTAGTATGTCGTTTTTTTTTTTTATACTCGTCACGAGGCAAAATGAATCGGTGAAAACACTTTACCGATTTGACGAAGACATCGTTCATGATGGACGCTCTAGCCGTGTTGCCGTCCACGTCCGACAGAAAGTAGCAGTCCTTCCCTGGCAGCTGTGTGGCCGGGTCGAGGCTGCAGTCCCCTTGTAGCTGGCCCTTGATGGAGTCGGTGCAGCCGGTGGGCATCAGGGTGTCGTCGTCCAGGTAGAAGTCGGGGAAGTCGGCGCTACCAAGTCCATACTCATCAAACACGCCGTAACGGAGATGCGCGAACTCATGGACGAGTGTCCGACCTGCAGGTCCCAGTCCAAGTGTTTTGTTTGTTATTTACAATTTCACTTACATATCCCATCAAATTCACAACGTTGTTTTCTGAGCCTTCGAACCACACAGATGTAAATACTTAATGGGAAACCTGACTTGATATGAGCAGCCTCAGGCACACCAGCATCAGAACACACAACAGGACCTGCTCACACAGCGGAATCCGCCCACACAACAGGACTTGCTCACACAGCAGCATCCTCACACACCAGAGACCGCCCACACAACAGGACCTGCTCACACAGCGGCATTCGTCCACACAACAGGACCTGCTCACACAGCAGCATCCGCCCACACAACAGACCTGCTCACACACCAACATCCGCCCACACAACAGGACCTGCTCACAAACCAGCATCCGCCCACACAACAGACCTGCTCACACACAAACATCCGCTAACACAACAGGCCCTGTTCACACAGCAACATCCGCCCACACAACAGACCTCCTCACACACCAACATCCGCCCGCACAACAGGACCTGCTCACACAGCAGCATCCGCCCACACAACAGACCTGCTCACACAGCAGCATCCGCCCACACAACAGGACCTGCTCACACAGCAGCATCCGCCCACACAACAGGACCTGCTCACACAGCAACATCCGCCCACACAAGAGGACCTGCTAACACAGCAACATCCGAACACACAAAGGGACATGCTCTCACAGCAGCATCCGCCCACACAACAGACCTGCTCACACACCAGCATCCGCCCACAACAGGACCTGCTCACACAGCAGCATCCGCCCCGCCACACAACAGGACCTGCTCACACAGCAGCATCCGCCCACACAACAGGACCTGCTCACACAGCAACATCCGCCCACCAACTTACAGCAGGACCTGCTCACCTGCTCTCACAGCAGCATCCGCCCACTCAACAGGACCTGCTCACACAGCATCCGCCCACACAACAGGACCTGCTCACACAACAACATCCGCCCGCAGGACCTCACACAGCAGCATCCGCCCACAACAACAGACCTGCTCACAACAAGAGGACCTGCTCACACAGCAGCATCCGCCCACTCAACAGGACCTGCTCACACAGCAGCATCCGCCCACACAACAGGACCTGCTCACACACCAACATCCGCCCACACAAGAGGACCTGCTCACACAGCAGCATCCGCCCACACAACAGGACCTGCTCACACAGCAGCATCCGCCCACACAACAGGACCTGCTCACACACCAACATCCGCCCACACAACAGGACCTGCTCACACAGCAGCATCCGCCCATTCAACAGGACCTGCTCACACAGCAGCATCCGCCCACTCAACAGGACTACGTCATACAACAGACCACATCCATGCAGTACCATCTGTCCATCTAACAAAGGTGAGTCCTCATGATTTACTGCATCATGATAAGTTGGTGAGATAAGGCTACCTACCTCCCTGGCCCCAGTTTGTCAGCCTGTACCGAGTATTGAGGACATATTCCGGAGTGAGGTGGATGAACTTCCCAGGCGTGCCACATCCAGCAGGCTGCTCCGTGTAGGGATTGTCCCCATATACTGGAGATGGCTGGTCGATTCGGATATCTGCTTCTTCAAATGTCTCATCCGTCGCAGTGCCCCAAGCTGGCTGTTTAGACCACGTGCCTGGGACAAGGAACGTGACGCTGCCAATGTAGGATCGTCTCCTGGTTGCCTGGTACAGCGCCCAGGAGGCATCAGTGATAATGCTCTGTAAGGAAGTGAATGTGTGAATACATTTTTACGCCGATTTTAGCAATATTCCAGCAATATCACGACGGGTTCACCAGAATGGGCTTCACACATTGTACCCATGTGGGGAATCGAACCCGGGTCTTCAGCGTGACGAGCGAACGCTTTAACCACTAGGCTACTCCGCCGTCCTCTGTAAGAAAGACATGATTGGGCATTATACCAACATATCATATGGCGTTATACAATGTCTTGTAACTGAGGTTTTCATTAGTCTAGGATTGAGGACAACACGTTACACGTCAATGTGTCATTGGTAATATCACTGAACATGGTGCAATACCAGGGGAGGGAATGGATTCATAATAGAAACATCTATCATGGTGGGCGAGCCGGATCACTAAAAATGAAAACATACTAAAACGTTTACTGTTCTTTATTAAATATGCAAAATTCAATTATTTTGTTTTTTGAAACAAGGGTGGTCTTGGAGACGAAATCGAACTTCATCACTGAACTAGACCAGTTCTCAGAGTCGTGCGGTCCGGTGCGTTTTCCTTTTTAGGCAGTATATTTTGGCTATAGCTCCCTTTTCAAACATGTTCTCATATTGTGTATAAAGTATGATCTATAGATACAGAAAGACTATCAGCTCACTAGCCCGACAGACATTCCAGTAGCAGGTCAGCCGTATGGCATGGAAATAATACAATAAATACCTGTTTCTGCACTGTTAACCTTGCTCACCTTCATCTCGGGTATCATGGTGTGGTTCTCTGGGACGCTGTCGTGAATGGCAACAACGAGGTTGTCATATTTGTTGTTGTGGATGGTGAGGATGGTGCTTCTGGTCGGGGAGAGTTGGAGAATCAGGAGAACCATCAGCAGGACAGGAGAAGACATGGTGCTGGACCTCAGAACAGGTGCTCTCTCTGAGGAGACCATGGACATACACAGGCTGTAGCGGCGTGAGGCGTAGTGCACCTGGTTAACTAAGCAACACACTCATTGGTTGTCAAGACACAGCTTATCTGGTACAGTCGCTTTGATGGACATTTCTGTAAGCCTGTATACGTGTAGTATGTCCGAGTAAATCTCATTAATATGAATACACAATGCCATGTATAAATTGGTGAAACGTAACATATGTTGTATTTGGGATTACACTTTCTCAGTAAAGTACAGATTCGAACACACACTCTCAGAGTAAAGCATCTAATCTCCAGCACTGAAAGTCATCGGTATAACCACTCAGCCACCTTTCCTTCTAAATCTCATTGTTTTCTTATACACCAGATGAAATGTTCCTGGTTGTCAAAGGTTGTCTCCTTAGTAGAAAACTTGGCATTTACAATAAACAGGCAGAAGAAATGTCAGCTACAGGTTTCGTTAACCTGGTGAAACAAAGGATCCATGTACTAGATAATCAGGCAGAAGAAATGTCAGCTACAGGTTTCGTTAACCTGGTGAAACAAAGGCTCCGTGTACTAGATTATCAGGCAGAAGAAATGTCAGCTACAGGTTTCGTTAACCTGGTGAAACAAAGGCTCCATCTACTAGATTATCAGGCAGAAGAAATGTCAGCTACAGGTTTCGTTGACCTGGTGAAACAAAGGCTCCGTGTACTAGATTATCAGGCAGAAGAAATATCAGCTACAGGTTTCGTTAACCTGGTGAAACAAAGGCTCCGTGTACTAGATAATCAGGCAAAAGAAATGTCAGCTACAGGTTTCCTTAACCTGGTGAAACAAAGGCTCCATGTACTAGATAATCAGGCAGAAGAAATGTCAGCTACAGGTTTCGTTAACCTGGTGAAACAAAGGCTCCATGTACTAGATAATCAGGCAGAAGAAATGTCAGCTACAGATTTCCTTAACCTGGTGAAACAAAGGCTCCATGTACTAGATTATCAGGCAGAAGAAATGTCAGCTACAGGTTTCGTTAACCTGGTGAAACAAAGGCTCCATGTACTAGATAATCAGGCAGAAGAAATGTCAGCTACAGATTTCCTTAACCTGGTGAAACAAAGGATCCATGTACTAGATAATCAGGCAGAAGAAATGTCAGCTACAGATTTCCTTACCCTGGTGAAACAAAGGCTCCATGTACTAGATTATCAGGCAGAAGAAATGTCAGCTACAGATTTCCTTAACCTGGTGAAACAAAGGCTCCATGTACTAGATTATCAGGCAGAAGAAATGTCAGCTACAGGTTTCGTTAACCTGGTGAAACAAAGGCTCCATCTACTAGATTATCAGGCAGAAGAAATGTCAGCTACAGGTTTCGTTGACCTGGTGAAACAAAGGATCCGTGTACTAGATAATCAGGCAGAAGAAATATCAGCTACAGGTTTCGTTAACCTGGTGAAACAAAGGCTCCGTGTACTAGATAATCAGGCAAAAGAAATGTCAGCCACAGGTTTCCTTAACCTGGTGAAACAAAGGCTCCATGTACTAGATTATCAGGCAGAAGAAATGTCAGCTACAGATTTCGTTTACCTGGTGAAACAAAAGCTCCATGTACTAGATAATCAGCAGTGTTTTTGTGCATTATGGAACGTTAGAAATCAACTAAACTTTGAACTTACAGGACCTATAAGAAAGATACCTGAAAACTATCCTTATAGAAAATATTCCAGGGTACAAAAGAAACTATTTAGCTAGGCTCAGATGTGGCTCCCTGGGCTTATCGATAGAATCTGGACGCTATACAAAGCCGGTCACCTCTACATCAATGTCCCTTCTGTGATGTTGTAGAAGATGAAGTTCATTTCCTTATAGACTGTCCAGTATATGATGACTAAAGCTATCCCACACTAGAGAGCACCTGTCTACAAGATATCCCCCACTAGAGAGCACCTGTCTACAAGCTATCCCACACTAGGGAGCACCTGTCTACAAGCTATCCCACACTAGAGAGCGCCTGTCTATAAGCTATCCCACACTAGAGAGCACCTGTCTACAAGATATCCCCCACTAGAGAGCACCTGTCTACAAGATATCCCCACTAGAGAGCACCTGTCTACAAGCATCCCCCACTAGAGAGCACCTGTCTACAAGATATCCCACCTGTCTAGAGAACACCTGTCTACAAGATATCCCCACTAGAGAGCTGTCTACAAGAGAGAGCACCTGTCTACAAGATATCCCCACTAGAGAGCACCTGTCTACAAGATATCCCCACTAGAGAGCACCTGTCTACAAGATATCCCCACTAGAGAGCACCTGTCTACAAGATATCCCCACTAGAGAGCACCTGTCTACAAGATATCCCCCACTAGAGAGCACCTGTCTACAAGATATCCCCACTAGAGAGCACCTGTCTACAAGATATCCCACACTAGAGAGCACCTGTCTACAAGACATCAACGTCAACGTCTGCTGTGGGCCCAACGTCACCTCCGATGGACCCAGAGAGACTGGAATCGAGTCGTCTTTAGCGATGAATCCAGGTTTACCCTCAGATTCGCAACGGCAGGCATAGAGTCTGGAGACGACGTCGTGAACGGTATGCCCAATGTTGTGTACAGGAAGTCGACAGATTCGGGGGCGGAAGCTGCATGATGTGGGTGCTTTCTGTGGGAACAACCGTTGTTCCCGACTTCTGGTCATCCGTGGAAACCTCACAGCTGCTGCTTACCGCGACCAGGTGTGCTCACCCCTGAACTCGTTCCTTTCATGGCGGCTCATGGCCCAGGTCTACAGTTCCAGCATGATAATGCTCGGCCGCATACCGCGATGTTGACACGAAATTTCCTTCAAAACGCTGGAATCAACCTCATGGACTGGCCATCGAGGTCCCCTGACCTTAATCCAATAGAGCACGTTTGGGATGCACTTGGGAGAAGGCTTCGTGGTCTTAGCCAACATACACACAATCAACTAGATCACACAACCAACATACACATAATCAAGCTAGATCATACAACAAACATGCCCACAATAAGCTAGATCATACAACCAACATACACACAATCAACTAGATCACACAACCAACATACACACAATCAACTAGATCATACAACCAACATACACACAATAAACTAGATCATACAACCTACATACACACAATCAACTAGATCACACAACCAACATACACATAATCAACTAGATCATACAACCAACATACACACAATCAACTAGATCATACAACCAACATACACACAATAAACCAGCTCATACAACCAACATACACACAATCAACTAGATCCTACAACCTACATACACACACAAAAGCATACATCATACAACCAACATACACACAATAAACTAGATCATACAACCAACATACACACAATAAACTAGATCATACAACCAACATACACACAATCAACTAGATCATACAACCAACATACACACAAATCAACTAGATCATACAACCAACATCCCCACAATAAACTAGATCATGCAACCAACATACACACAATAAACTACATCATCCAACCAACATACACACAATAAACTACCTCACACAACCAACATACACACAACAAACTAGATCATACAACCAACATATACAATAAACTAGATCATACAACCAACATGCACACATTAAACAAGATCATACAACCAACATACACACAATAAACTAGATCATACAACCAACATACACACAATACACTAGATAATACAACCAACATACACACAATACGCGAGCTCGTACAACCAACATAGACACAATAAACTAGATCATACAACCAACATACACACAATAACCTATATCATCCAACCAACATACACACAATGCACGAGCTGATACAACCAACATACACACAATAAACTAGATCATGCAACCAACATACACATAATAAACTTGCTCATAGAACCAACATGCACACAATAAACTAGATCATACAACCAACATACACACAAAGCAACTAGATCATACAACCAACATCCCCACAATAAACTAGATCATACAACCAACATACACACAATAAACTACATCATCCAACCAACATACACACAATAAACTAGCTCACACAACCAACATACACACAATAAACTAGATCATACAACCAACATATACAATAAACTAGATCATACAACCAACATACACACAATAAACTAGATCATTCAACCAACATACACACAATAAACTAGATCATACAACCAACATACACACAATACACTAGATCATACAACCAACATAGACACAATAAACTAGATCATACAACCAACATACACACAATAAACTAGATCATACACACAATAAACTAGATCATACAACCAACATACACACAATACACTAGATCATACAACCAACATAGACACAATAAACTAGATCATACAACCAACATACACACAATACGCGAGCTCGTACAACCAACATACAGACAATAAACTAGATCATACAACCAACATACACACAATAAACTAGATCATACAACCAACATACACACAATAAACGAGCTCATACAACCAACATACACACAATACACTAGATCATACAACCAACATACACACAATAAACGAGCTCATACAACCAACATACACACAATAACCTATATCATCCAACCAACATACACACAATAAACGAGCTCATACAACCAACATACACACAATAAACTAGATCATACAACCAACATACACATAATAAACTTGCTCATCCAACCAACCTAAATTGAGTGTAAAGGGATGAGGGAACCTGTGTGACGGTGTGCGTGTGTGCGTGTATGTATCTTTGAAGTGAGCGATAAAGGTGGTCTAGCGGGTGGAAGGGTGTTGTCAGTACTGTGTGAGGTGAAAGGGATGGGTGTGAGACGGAAGAAACCTTGTGTTATCTCCCTTATGTCTACACGTGTGTGGAAGGTGAATGCAAGAGTGGATATGTCTCTGTTGTCTGTGAGCTTTAGATTTGATTATGGTAGTTGTTATGGTGTGAAAGGTTCCCCTTTATGCTCAATCTTAATGTATATATTTATTTGTTCATGTTTGTCATAGATTGAAATGTTTTTAA